GATATGAAATATACGATGCATGAGTGGATGCGATCTATAACCTTTAATATGATCTCAGAACAGTTTTCATTTTGTCATTTACTGCCCACTCGTGGCTGCTGGCTTTTGACGACCAGACATTTCACAGCTGTGTTCCATTGACAAAGTCTGAGGCTCAGGCAGAGGGGACAGCAGCATGTTGTGTGCATGCGTGTTGAAAAGCAAAGCTGGGATGTCTGATGGTTGACTTGCTACAGACAAGCATGTTGGACTCGGGCACATTGCTGTACACGTGCATATGCTTGTTGAAACTGTTACGTCCGAAGTCTTGTCTTGCTCAGATTTTAGAGGCACCACTAGGAGGTGAACAAGAAATTTACAGTGTGATTTATCATTTCCACCAGATCTGCAGTAATTCTGAGAAGTTAGAGACAATGTATAGTTACACAAGCAGTGCAGCTGGAAGTTCAGTGTGTGTAAGCAGTGAGTGGGCGAGAGAGAGAGTGTGTACCGGAGAGTTGAAAGTTAGCAGTATTGCTGTGAACAGTAAATAAATAATATAATCATCACCTACGTGGGGTGTGTCTATACTTGACATTGATTCTTCTGTAGACAGGCATGCATCTATATTGGCATGTTGACATCTCGGCTAATGTATTTGTGCATAGAGAAAAGGTTGGGTCTCCAATGGAATGGAGAAAATAAATGAACTGGTTCACCTTCTTGATTTCGTTGCCATTGTTAAATCATTATATTTTTACTATCGGAAAAATGAGCATTCATGTGGTTCAACAACATTAGCGGGAAATACTGTGAGCTGCTTCCACCTCCCTCTCTGATGCATCTTTCACACCCGTTACTTTAGTTCTAACCTGAAAAGTCCAAATGTCCGGACCAAACAAGGCAGGTGTGAAACCGCCCTGAGAGTTTTGACCCTATGAGCTATTAATCTATTGTGAGTTAAACGTATTTGTGTTATCACATTCAAAACCAACAGGAGTTGTACCAGAGTGCTTGAGACATATAGTGGGATGGGCTACAGTCAGCCAGAACGACCTAGGTAAACATCTTCGTCTACTGTCATCCGGCTCCACTTTGTAGAAGTTATGGCTTCTCCAAACTTTATTCTCACATTGTTGCTCATTTGTATTCCCCCTGTTCCTCTGCTGAGAGGTAAGAGTGACTGCAGACGTTGTAACTCTGAGCACGACACTGTCGATGAGTCTTCTACCTTCTAAATTCATTTGGGAGAGGGTCTCTAAAGGTGACAGATGAAATCATGAGGGGGAAAGAAGACGTTGGAAGCGGAGTACAAGATACCTCAGGTGTTAAAGAATTCTCTTCGTGCGTCTGCCATTATCCCAGTGTGCCTGTCTCCTGTCTGAAAACCGACTGTAAGCCGCAGAGCCCAGGGATATTAAATTACTGCCCTAATGTTCTGTGGCAAAGGAATTGGAGTCATCTCAACACAAACAAATTGGATCTCGCAGCTCATCTACAATGCAAGGCATGCCCATAGGTGTGGCGTCAAGCTGAATGACCGCCTCTAACAAGCAGAGGAGGATTTGTTTGAATTCTACGACGTGACAGGTGGTTCAGTGGTCTTCCCGGGTTCGGAACAGGAGGAGTGATTGGAGGAAGAAAAGCTGTGTATGATATCTGTGATTGATAGGTTTCTGATGAGGTCCTGAGTGCAGCTGGCCAGTGGATCTGAATCTATTTGTCAGATATGATTGTGGTGATATTGAGTTAGAGGGAGACAGAAAAAAAAGGAAACGAAGACAGTGGATGACAATCTTGGAGGGAAAAAAAGCATACTGAGAGAGTGAGGAAGAGGAAATAACAGGCAACAGTGCAAGGTGAGAGCAGAGAGTGGTTTGGAGGAAATGTTGAAACGGAGGTGTGATCTGTGTTTCAGAGCACTCAGGCTATTATAGCACCTGTCAGAGCCCTCACCCTCCTTCCTCTCCCTTGTTGTCCACCCCTCCGTCATCCTCAACAATGATCAGTGCCACTACATTTTCCATCCTCTCACTTCCTGACTATTTGTTGACCTTCTCCCCCCCCCCCCTCCTTGTTTGTAGCACGGTGCACAAGGTTCAAAGGCCAAAAGCACACTGTATTGCACATGAAAGGAAAGGAGGCGTTGAGAGCGTAGATCCCTCACTGGAAGCATGGGGGGGTTTATCTTTAAAGATCAAAATGACAAGATTGTGGTCAGGACTCCACTTACGTGCTGTTTAAGAAGATTTAGATCCCAGATAATGATATGGGATTTCAGGCCGAGTGCTGTGACTACGTTTGAAGTCCATTCACTTAAATGAGCTACTTCATCCACACATTAACACTCTGGAAGCTTCCTTGAACTTTAAATAATGATCTTCTTTAAGAGTAGGGACATCCACCATGCATTTTAAAGAGTTGTAGCCTATGTCACAAACCATAGTGTATATTTTTACACAGATATTTACGTTCAGCATTGTCATAATAGTAGGACACAGGTTTTCATCTACATTTATCGTTTATGTCTGAGCTTGCCTGTTTAATCATGCCTCGTTTCTAAATATAAAAACACCAGTAAAATGACTCTACATTTATGGAGTAGAGCCCTTCAGCAGACTGCTGGAGCTGGAAACTGCTGCACTCCTCAGCTTTCATTTCCATACAGCGTTAAAAGAATCCGTCCAAATTCTTTTAGAGGTATTTGTGGAACTTAATTCTCTTCAGTCGCCCTCTTGTGCAATGACGGCTTGTTATAACAAACTCCCAAATATAGTTAAGAGCATTTCAAGTGCATTGGAAAGGCAACATATGTGCAGACTAATCATGACAGTCCGACAGAATTTGTTAGATTAAACATCTGTTTTTCCCCTTACATCCTACGGTGTGCGTTTTTGTGTTTATTACTTTTTTCACTAAACAAAAACAACACGATGACATCCAAGAAAAGAAGATAGCAACCTATAAATAAAAATACTGATACGCAAGTGCATGTTAGCATTATATCTAATAAAATAATAATTTTCTTGATAAGTATTAGAAAGGGCAGGGGATTTCTAGTGTGACCAGGCAATAGCTCCACCTACAGGATGGCTGGAAAATGCAATATTTGTCCCTATCCTCTCAGGGGTCCCATGGGTGCATCAAGATAAATAAAAATAAAATGTAATGGACTGTCGTTGTCCTGGTTACAGTTACAAACATGTGGTTAAACTTACTGAGCCGTTAAGGCACAATAACAACTTGGTTGGGTTTGGGAAAAGATTGTGGTTTGGATTAAAATAGGTATTTCATCCATTGTCCCTATGGTTACAATAATAATTGTGCAGTTAAGGTTGAATGGTTGTAATTAATAATGACGGCTTCAAATGAGAAAAGAAAAGCGGTCTCCATGTTTCACGAGGATAAAGTCTTGTCTTTTGTTGACCCATCTCTTGACCCCAACCACCAACAGACTCTGACCTCCTACTTTGCTGTATCATAGTTAATTAACAAATTGAAATGTTTGCTACGAGATAGTATGATGGTATAAATAGTAATTATATGTGATTAGGTGGATAGAGCTGATATGATTTGCCTCCACATGGAGACTGTAAAGCAGGTCAGGCTTAGTGTTTTAGCTACAATGAGCAGAGATCATTTCATTAGGGGATGGGTTTGGATTTACTGGAATTGACATATCTGCATTTAAAAGTGTTTTGAAATAAATATTTGACTGCAAAATGCTGAGAGGGAATAAACTGATGGTCCTGAATCATCCTGAGGTATGTCAGCTTTTATTAATCTGCAATTGCTGTAATCACGTCATTGAGTCTTTATTGATGGCCTTACTTTTTAGAACCAAATAAGAAACATTTAACACTAAAGTTACAATTTTGACTTTCTGTTTATGTGGTTTGATTGGGTTTGATTGACAGCAACCAAGCAACCCACCGATGTTGCTAAAACCTGATTGGTGGTGTGTGACATCACCAATTTCCAACTGAGCTCCCTTCAAACACACAAACACACACAAATTGCAGCAAGCTCTATTGTGAGATTGAAGGAAGTTAAAGTGACTAATTGAGGCTCCACAGACTTGTCAGAGTGCCTTGTCTTCCACTTGAACTAATCAAATCAGTTGGCTCATGCAGACATCTCTGGTCCACTGTAGTGGCTCCCAGAGCAGCTCTCCGCCCTGAAACATGAACTCATGAGAGGGGACAGCACAGTCAGATCACATCCCTGCCCAGTGAGATGACGACTGGGTGGTATTTATTTACACTTGTTTATAAATACATATTATTAATGCTTATTTAAGCACAAACTGGTTTTGTTTAGTCTTGTATTCAATGAAAGGATATTTTTGGTATCTTTAAGGATTATTTAGATTTTTTTAAAACATTTACACTATTTGTGAGATTAAGCATACGAAAAACATTTTCGACATGTTTAAGTAGTAATTCATGCACAAGAGGATATATATAAATATATATTATCAGACATGAATTTTCAGTATATTGAATGGCGTTCATAACATATAATGCGACTTGACCATATAGAATGAAATCTGAATATATGGACTGAATGTTTGAATATTATGGAATGAAACTTGAATATATAGAAATAAATCTGAATATATTGATTGGAAAGATGTCAGATATTATTCTATATATTCAACTTTCATGCCATATATTCAAATATATTCCAACTCTCATTACAGGTGCAAACATACACACACACACACACATATATATATATATGTGTGTGTGTATGTATGTGTGTGTGTGTTCAGTGAAAAGTGGACGCATGTATTCAGGGAGGCTGGACTCTCCTCCTTCTTCTCCTCCTCTTCCTCATCTCTCCATCCACGTCTCTGAACACACTGAACCTCCTCGCACCAGGACACGCTCTTTCTCTCTCTCTCTCTCTCACACACACACGCACACGCGCGCATAGGAGGTGGTGGTTTAACTTTCAGGAGGCGCAAACCTTCCAGTCGACTCTCAAGGCAAACGGTTTTACTGCTGGGGGGAGAGAGACCTTCATATTTATAGCGGATAGAGAGAGAGAGCGGTTGGGAGGCAGTGACGGTGGGTGTCTCTCTCTCTCGGAGCGGAGACCTGTTCGTCACTAAGTGTTCGGCTGTTTCTTCAAATGAGAAAGTCTGAGAAATGTAATGTCTTGTTCTGCGGGCGACGCAGCCACGATGCACAGGCGGGGACGCACCGGTGTTTGCAGCCTTCACGTCATGTTTGGATTGTGGAGAAGTCAAAGGTAGGTAACAATAAATAAAGCAGATTTAGTATTTAGATGCTGGTTTTGTTCACAGTTTGCGTTCTGCTCTGTTTCTAAGATGTAAAATGCGGAGTACATGTATATTTCTAATACTGTGGAGTTGTTACGCATGATATCCACCTATATGTACGTGTTTTACGCACGTGTTCATCTTTATTGATAGAATAGAAATAAGTGTGTGCATGTGTCGCAATGTGCCCACTGTGATGGAGGAGCTGGAGGATGTTGTTGATGATAATGAACTCCGCACAGTTTCCACCTGCGACTGCACACACACGATCCAACATCCCCCTGTGTGTGTGTGTGTGTGTGTGTGTGTGTGTGTGTGTGTGTGTGTGTGTGTCTGTGTGTGTGTCTGTGTGTGTGTCTGTGTGCTTCAGGCATGAACTCATCAAGTCTCTGTGTGGGCTCTCCGCTGAAACACTAAACACAGATTACAGATTACATAGTGCATTCAGGAATATTTTTCACCCAGTAAACAAAGAAAGCAATGAGAGGGTCAAAATAACAAAGAGCTGTGGGGGATTGGTTCAGTGTCTGCATGCAGTGTTTGTCTTAATCTTATGAATGTAAAGTCATTGGTTAAGGTTAATATATGTTTTGATTAAGATAAGAAAGACTCAATAAAATAAAAACATGCATGGAGCAATGAGTTTATTTGCCCTATCTGTACACACACACGCAGCTATCAACCCCCACTTCTTCACTCTGATCTACCCCTGGTGCCCGCAACAACTGGGACAGCACAAGTGATAGTGATGTCAGGTCTGATCGCTGCGTGAACTGCAGCCTTAATAGACGGAGCTGAGTCTAGAAAGTGGCTGGTCTTCAACATACAGCTTCAGCCTCAGTGTTTCGAGAAAATTAAATGTTAGGATCCATCCAAATATTATGTATACCACTTATGATTAAAGGGTCATGGAGGGCTGGAGCAAAAATGTTATTATATGCTATATAAATGGTTATTATTTGATAACATTAATTTCAGCCTGAATCCACGATACATCTATTTATCTATCTATCTAATTTGCCATCAGATCATACTAGAGACCACGTTCAGTAAACAGTGAAGACAACTTAGCCTGAGCCCGCCTGTCACTAACAACAAACCACTCTAACAACAGAGTACATGGCTGCAATTGACAGGAGCCCCGTGCTGAATTATTCAAGCGTGGTTGAGATTTTCAATGGTGGATTTACACATCAAGGAACACTTTAAAACATATGACGGAGATGTAGAAAACACAGAGGCAGGTGCTACGAGTGTGGTGGCACAAGGCAGCAGAGGAGTCCTGACTCCTGGGTCCTTGCTGAGGGTTTAATGTTTTATCAGCTCTGTAGACAGACGTGTAGACAAACTGGTCAGAGTATCAGCAGTGGCTGCTGACACAGGAATAGGATTCAGATGAATGTGAAGTGGATCATGACATCTTGACACAGAGGATAAAGGATCAGCCAACACTCAGAGTCAGAGGACTTTAATGTGTTGAGGCCAGGGGGGTTCAGCTTCACAGACAAATCTGCGGTAGGATGTATTTGCATTTTAGTTAATGAGCTCTCATGCATTGTCCCATTGTGTGGTCATCAATAACTACCTGCCGTTGCATCATTATGCGTAATATATGCCAGCCCCTGCTTCCACAATTAAATTACAGAAAGATGAAGTTGTTGTTGTCGAGCACAGCGAGCTGATCTCATGCCGTATCCAGGAAAAAGCTGCAAGAGACATGGCCTGGATGAAGTGGGTTGGTAAACATGGCCGACAGCTAAGACACATTGGTATTCCGCTGCATCCTGGCCTCGAGGCCTGGCTGATAATACCCGCCCTCTGTGTCAGGGTCAGGGGTCTGGGCTTGATTGGCAACGGGCTGACACAGGGAAACAGAGTGTGCTGACTGTAGTCTAATGGGGTTGGAGTGCACAGACGCACCAGCGGGGCTGGAATGTCCCCCCCCCCCACACCTGGATGCTTACAGGTTGTTGGCCAATCTATTAGCCCCCTTGTCAAACACCTCTGTGCTCTCATACATGGCGGCACTGCAGCGCACACACAGGCCTCGCCCGTGCCATCTCTCTCATGCTGAATTGTTTTCCTCGCAACAGCAAGGACTCTGCCTCATTCGCTTTCAGCTACACCTCCCAGCTCTTTATTCCTCCGAACCGGTGCAGTCTACCAACATGCCTGAAGGCACTCAACCGGAGAATCACATACAAGTGTGATCTCTCTCTTTCTTTTCCACCCCTTCTCCCTCTGTCTTTTTTGGTGCTGCTACTTTCCTCCAACAAACACATCCGCCCACTCATACACACATTTTTTACTCACAGACGTACATGCACAAAACACAAACGCCTACAAATAAATGTGTACATGCACGCACAGAACCATAATTCTAACTAACATACAGTATATCTGCTCTGATTACGAGATGTCCTACATTGCTGAGCGCGCACTCAAATAGCTTATTCTCAATAAAATTGACGTTTACCACAAAAAGCCGTGCTCTGCACCAGCAACGCAGCAGCAAACACCCAAAAAGATTTGTCAGAGCATCCGTGAGTAATGACACCAAGAATAATCCGCTGTCAGCTTGTAGCACTGGTGCAGAGTAGTTTTACAGTGTAAGCAACAGGGAAGTACTTCAAAGAATACTTATTATGGCTTTATGAGAGCCACTGCTTGTGCGTCCTCACTCTTTCAAAGAGTGAGTTTATTAGCATTGATCTGGTCCCTAATACCTGGTCTTTTGGGAAAAACCTTAATGTAGAGAAAATACCGGGGTCATTATTGTCTGAGTCATTTTGAAATCCTGTGCTGTTTCTTCCAGCATCAAATCTAAATCGTGGAATAGAAGGAATGTGTTTTCTTCCAGACTGTCTCATGTAATTTTGCTAATCACAGCGCTGCTTCAGTATTAATGCAGCAGTGATTTATTGATGCTATGTGCTATTTGTCTGCCCCTTGTAACTTAAGTGCAGCTTTATGAAAAGCAAATTCTTTCTGACGTTTTAAAAACTCAGGGACAAGAGGGTGTGTTTCGTCAAAGTCGTCGTTGACACCATGTTAAAAAATCCATAAATAGAAAGCAGCAGTTCATGTCCAGATAATAGGTCCAACCCTATTGTGGATATCGCAGCTAAGATTAAATTAAAAATTATCACCCCTGGAGCTGTCAGGCCGGTTAGCTGCAGAAACTTTGTCAGGGCAGATGCCACGATTGGGTTGCAACTAGAATTTGGGTCGCGTTCCGTCACGTTGGCTGGGCTCTACTTGATTGTTAGTGCTGCTGGTGACTCTATTCGGGGAAAACATTGGGCTGGGGTCTTGTTTGGACACAAAAAACAGAATGCCTGTCAGATTCGGGTCAGGCTCTGTTAGTTTTCTTCAACGCTCTAGTTTGATCCCGGGTCAGAGAGCATCCCGCCCTAGAAAAGGCAGCAGGGTGTCACACCTGATAGAAGCATCCACTGTTGCTAACAACCTGAAGCACCTGGTCGTCTTTAGTCTTACACAAGAATTTGTTCGTAACAAGGAAACTCACACTTTCAAGAATTGCATGAGTGTGCGTTGCCCGGAGCTGTTGGTGGACCAAAGGGCACGCTTGTGTGGAACAACAACATCAGCGCATTCAGGCGCAGGAGGTCCAACAGGGAGGAACCATGAAAACTTTGTCGGCTGTCCGGTGCTTACTGAGCTTCAGGAAGCCTGGGAGCATGGCATGTGTTTTATTCATGGGGCAGAAAACATGAAAAGTATAACAAAACAAAAGCCTGCATGAGGGAAAATGAGGATTCAGCAATCGCCAGTTCAGACAAAAAAATTAAAATGTACAATGGAAAGAGTAAGAAAATCTAAGAAACAAGTAACGACACGAGAAAATAGAATGTTACCCAATAGAGAGCATACCTCCGCCTAAACTTTTATTATTTTATCAAGATCCATGAGTTGTTCTCTGAGAAATCAAGGAAAATGGTGAAAAGCTCCCTATCTCACAAAGTGAAAGACCTAGAAAATTACTTCTTGGTTCTGCCCACTGATCCAGATCTCCACCAAAATTTAATATGTTCTTTTTTTACTCTTACCGCATCCTTCCAAATAAGTTTCAAACAACAACAACAAATGGACAGGGATGAAAACATTGCCTCTTGGCGGAGGTAAATAGGAATTAAAGAAAAAGGTTAAAAGTGAAAACCCCATGGGACAGATCATAGGTGAATATATAGAATAAAAATGTAAACATACTGAACCATGACATGATTGTCTGTCAATTATAATTTGATAGAGACAGATAAATATTTCCTGATGTCATGGACCTTATGCTGGATGTTTAAATGAATGAGTGACATAGGATATAAAAGGTAAAGAAAGAAAAACAATTTGATTGAAATAGTTTTTTGCATAATATAAGGAGGAGGAAAATATCAAATCATCTGCAAGATCATCAATGTGCAAGTTATTAACCTGTGAGCCAGACAGCTATTATCCATATCCCATCGCTGTAAGGCCATTTGGCATTATGTTTTATCTTGTTGTCTTCGATTGGAAATAATGTATTCTTTTATTGGGTTTGGTAATATTGCGGCAAGCCAGCGTAGCACGATTGGGGTCAGGACCCCCGCAAATAATCTGCTTTTGGCATTTCTATTTTAAACACAGATTAATCATACAGAGATTAAGGCTGCCAAGTGAGAAGCATGGAACTCTTGTTTCTGTAGTGTGGAAATAGCTGGGAGGGAAGTTTTGATTATTTTGATGGTTATATGTAGAGTTCGTGACAGTTTGTTTGTCCTCTGTGGGAGCCAAAATGATTTGTTTACCACCGTATGACTGGGCTCGATAAGATATTTTGCAGGATACTGATCAGTAATCTATTTACTTAATATACAAGTTCTAAAGATTAACCATATTAATGATTGTACATCTCCTGCAACTTGACATGTCAGAAATGTAACATCCTAACTTGCCCGTTGATCCTCTCTGATCATTTCATTTTATTGAGGGGAATTGTATAAAAGCAAAATGTCTATGAAAAAAGTTATCAAACCTGAATTCAGTAATTTTGTATTCCTTTGCTTAGGATATTCAAATTTGTATTCCTTTCATTCCACAGAAGGAGGCAGACTGGGTCGTCTCAGTCACCTAATCATCATTAGTTCATCATCATCATTAAGTTTTAAACTCTTCTAACTGTATTTTTCTTGCTTATCTTCATCCTATTTTGAATCATTTGTTCACATAGTGAAAAAAACTTTGTTATAAAGCCATAAACTCACACAGATGGAGGATTAAAGCCCTCTAAGCTGTATATATGTGTACGACAGTGAGGCTGATAGCACCAAATAACAATTCTACTATAATAACCTCATTAGCTGCACAGAAAACAAACGCGTGCATTGAGATGGCGAAGGATAATATGCAAAACCTTTTAAAGTAGCTGGCAGTATTGCTTTGATATGTTGTTGTGCACTGGGATCTGTGTGTTCGTTTGTGTTAGCTCATGTATCCAGAGTGAGGATGAAATTAAACTTAATTGAATCATCTGCAGGGTGCAGCTCTTGACAAGCGAGACGCTGTTACAGTTGTTGCTGCCGAGGGAGCGACAGCTAAACTTTGATCTTGTCTGAGCCACTGTTTGGTAAATTGTCACCAAACTGTTCCTTGCTGGTAGAAGTCAAATGAAATTCTTCCTCCGAGTTTTAAACCTCCTCTCCTTGTTGTCTGTAGGTCCCACAGTGCTGAATTCTGAATGACATCAACGCCTTAACCGACATCAGCGTACCTCACAGAGGAGCCTACTTCACCCGACGCTCTTCCATATCCTCGTTAAAATCGCTGAGAAACTCCTCCTGCTCACCTTTTGACTGCCGCTGCTATGGAGAACCTCAGTGAGCTCCAGAACCCGTTGTTGGACAAAAACAGTAAGCACATGGTCAACGGCTACGGGGGAGACTTCCCTAATAACCAGTACCAGGAAAACATTATCAATTATTTCGCTGGAGGAGGCGGTGGTGGAGGTGAGGGAGGAGGAGGAGGTGGAGGAAAAGTTAACAACAGCAACGTGGTTAGCGGAGGAGGTTTCAATACCAACGGGAAGGTGAAGTCTCAACAACTTTTGGACGCCACCTCGCTGCATCTGGCAGTGGAGGCCTTCTACAGGCCCAACTTCATCCTGTACAAGGAGGACAGCAGCAGCATCAAGGCTAAGGAATACAAAAGTGAGTGCTGCGAGACCACCTTCACAGAGAAGAAGGCGAAGGAGGCATCCAACACCGCAGGGGCGGAAACACCCGGCACAGAGGATCCTCAGGCAAAGCTGCTGGAGGATGGCGAGCATGTCAAGATTCAAACGGTTTCCTACGAGGTGGAAGAGGAGGAGTATGTGGAGTACGAGGTAAGAGGGAAACCAAAGAAACTAGCATTTGACCAGGACTAATTCTTGTGACATTTGTTGATAAATTTGATCATTGTTATATCTCTTAACCCGGTGTTTTCACTTGCGGCATTATCCAAAACAGTGCAGACCATCAAGGTTGCTTAAACTCTCCAAAGACACCCGTACATATGGATTTTAAAAGAGGGTGGTGATGTATCTTATTTAGGGGTTAGGGAGAAAATTGGTTTTTCAATGAAAGGCCCAGTCGAGGATGAGAAGCCATGTAACCCAAGCTCAAATACCTGTAGTGCTCCGGAGTTATCAGAGAGAAAGGAGCGAGCCGGCTTGTATTCCTGTGGTGCTTGCACACGTGTTTCGCCACACCAAAGGATTGGGCTCGATGCCTGGATCAGACTGACATTTTACCAGCCACAAATCCCATTTGATCCACTGACCTTGGCTTCAATTCCCAACTGTAGTAAAATTCATCGTTAGATAATAATAAGTCACCCATGTCTGCCCCACACACAGAGAAATTGGGTGCTACAGTGGTACAGCGTTAGCAACAGAATTTTTACTCTCAGCCGGCACAAAGTGCTCTAAAGGATTTAAGGGATTGGACGGATGGAAATTGAGGTTCAGTTTGACCAGTTCCTGCAAGACCAGAGGGACTGAGCACACACCTGCAGATCCGCTAGAACTAACCTGGGTTGATGTGATAACATGTAGACATGATATATGCAGCTAAGGTGGGCTCATGCTGCAGAAAGAATTATGAATAAAGAAATAATTATGGAGGGTATAAAAACAAAATTTAACCAAATTAATTCCAAAACTCAAAGAGAAAAAGTGCAAGAGAAAAAATGTGGAGATGTGAGTGAAGAGCAAATCAACCGTAAGTTGTGATGAGGTTTCCTCCACATGTAAATGTAGGCTGATGCACACAAAGTAGACGTGATGTTATGCACAAACTGGAGGCACCTCTTAGCCGTTCAAAGGTCAAGTGAACACATTTCCATATCATTGATATTTTTCACACGTTTCCTGTTCACAAATGATCATTAAAAAAGAGCATCATCAGGCCCCACTGCCAGCACTGCTATGGTAAGAGGAAAAGACTCAGTGGGACTCATTATGCAGTCTCCCAGCATTAGACCTCATTTCACTGCCACCACAAAGTGTGGGATGTCTCTGCCACTGTCTGACACGATCCAAAGTCCTCACACAAGAAAAGCACTTCTGCCGACACACACGACGTGCATGTTGGTGTTCTACGGAGACATACAAAGACGTATGTGTTATGTAACCTGAGCTGGAAATGCTTGTTAGAAAACACATTTATTCATTATTGACCATTATGTATTAACTCATCTTGCATTTTGTATGTTTCACCTTTGGGGATTGTTAACAAATTGAGGGCAAAATATAGTTTTGTGCATTTGTTTAGCATAAAAGCAAAGCTTAAATGTACCATATGGATTTTTCTTGCAAAGAAAGTTTACGTTTATATTCATTGTCCGGACAAAATCTAAGAATTTACTTCATTTCTTTCCACTTTAAAAAGCCTATTCTCAATAATTTTTAGTTCGTACATCGCTGTAATTGACAGCTACATGTGGGATTTACATTAATTAAGGGTCAATTTAGGTTTTCATGCCTCTAAAAGGTTGAAATGGAAAAGGACTCTTAACTTTCATTGTGAGATAAATTGCTGTGAATCAAATGGAGAGATTGTAATAGCTGGGTAACACTTCGCTGTTGCTCCTCTTGATAAGCATTTAAACACTTGCATACATAATTTCGTTGTTCAATTGTGTTTGTGTGTGTGTTCATATTTGATTAACAAAGTTTTTATTAAGCTACCATACGTTCACCACATTAGTTTCACTCTGTCACCTGAAAACACCTGAAAACAAGCAACTGAGCTGAAATAAAGTCCAATGTCTTTTTCCCTTTATGAGGGAGGTGCAAAGACGATAAAGCGTCAGGGAAGTGAAGGCTTCTTTTACGGATGTTCGACTCAGAAGTGTGAGAGAAAGATAAAACATGATGCCCCTATATCAAGGCAGTTTTTCTGGTATAATCTAAAATGCTCAGTTATTCATAGTTACTCTTGTGTGTGTTTTCTGCACTTATATCTTTGTGTGTACCATTTTCAGTATAGACCCTACAGAGGGAGGACATTTTGAACGGTTGTTTGAGGGTTTAGACCTGATTATAGGGTCATGGTTAGAATTAGGTTTAGGTTAGTACAAACATGTGCGTGTGTCTATATTGCTGCATTTCAGGACTTTATAGGAAACGCTGTCTTTGAGGAAAAACGGTGATTTTTGCACCAGAGTGATGTCTCATGTCTCTGCTTTGATTACGGGTAGAGTGCGGCAGTTGTGCTGCTTTGTGCGACATCATGAGGAACTGTCAGATCAGAGCAGTGGTTTCTGAGATGGCAGCATTTTCTGCTGTGAAATGCATGATGGGAATGTTTCACAAAATATGAACTATTAACACTACATGTGCACTGCTTTTTTTGACAGTGACTTAATAAACAAAATATTAAGGCTTGTTTAAACTAGAAAATTGCAAGGTTAGCAGATTCAGACTAAACCTGTGCTTTTTGTATGGCTGATGAAAAGCAAGCCATCTTAAAACAGTGCAGACTTTTGAGGGAATGGAGACCTTGACTGATCGGAGGAAGCATTGCTTATAAACTCTTATGGCTCATTTATGCTGCCTTTATGTACCAACAGTGATATGTCAATTTTAAACAATATAACACCACCTGTCTTCCGTGTGTCCATGTGAGACGGTAGAAGAAGTTATAATAATTTACATCTGCAAAAAGCAGACTTGTTCATGTAACTGGGTGAAGTAACATTATATAGATTCCTGTAGTTTCTTACGCCACTGTTGAAGTTTCTTCCTTGCGGCTAATGGTTGTCTTCCTTGAACTATTGGCTACACTGCCCCCCCACGGATTCCAGTGGTACTGCTCCATTTCGTTTGTCTGCGGTAGACCTAGGCTGTCCGAAGTGGCAAACGATAGCATAGCGTGTTTGCTGTGTTACTCCTCTGCTGTAGTTTACACTTCTTTAAATCAGAGTACAAATATGAATATTTTATCAAACAGTGTAAACTTTTTGTCCCGCAACCTGAAAGCTGTTTCAATGTGACCAGGATATCTTTCAGGGATTGAGCTGCTTTCAATCTCTTCATCTCAATTGTGATATTAAAATTTCAAATTAGCCACTCATTATATGTAGCTTCTCCTCAAATAGTTGTATTGATTTCATAAAGGAGTCTATAAGGTGTGATGGCCTTCGCTGGTCTGTAGCAGGACAAGGTGCCCCGTAAAAACGTAGTTTTTCACCAATCGTGTTGCCTAATTGAATCGGCTGTCTGATCCATAGTCATCATATTCCGGCGACGCAGAATGATGGAGTCATTACAAATCCATATTATACGTGTTATCTGAAAAGTTTGCATCTGCACTTTGTAACTAGATAAGAGAAAATTTGTGACGACGCCAGAAAGCTCTCTAAAAGATTAGAAAACAGTCCTTAAAGTGAAGCCTGTCCCTGCTAGGCTGATAGAGCTGCAAATATGCCAATACAGTACAATATTACCAATCAGACAACTTGACCTATACTTGCTAGAAAAAGATTATTACTGATTGAAAAAGGTCAGAGTTATTATGGGCCAAGAACTTGCAGAGGACTTGGCCTGAAGAAGTGACAGAGGAACCTTTAGAGGTACAGAGTGTATTCGCTCACCCAGTTACATACACTGCAAAATAATGAGCTTTAAATCCTCACCAATTCATAAAAGGTCATTAACTCCGGGCGGTACGAGATGTGCTCGTCTCGCTTTCCGTTTAACCTGCAGATATTAAAAGCCTGGTGTTTTTAGAATGCATCACAAAAAGATAAAATGAAGAATAAAGTGTTCTGTTTAATATTTTCGAAGAGTTATTAAATAAAGCAGAGATTATCCAATTATCAAAGTGCATGAGTAAATTACAGACAGCCTCCGAGGAGAGTCAGTAAAGTAGAGGAGAAATTTCATCGAGGAAATTTAAATTAAATTTTCCTTTGCTGTAATACCTGTCAAACCTGAAATGCAAACTGGTAGCTGTTAATGATATTACTTTTCTTGCAATCTCTGTACCTCAAGCTGTCATTTAGAGCTCAGTAATTGCTGCAGAGGACAAGCCTCTTTAATCAAGACACCAAAACAGCCAATTATCAAGTCCTGTTAGGATTAACTCAAGTTCTTTCTACTAAAAAGTATTTTTTCTCTGTTAATACATTTTTTCTTGTCTCATATCTTCCTATAAAGTACATTTATTATTGTTCACTTTATTACTTTTGAACCATTAGGAGACTAAAGTTTGTTTCCTCAAGCAACATTTCAGTCTTTCTCCTCTTTTTCATCAACTTGTTTTTTATTATTTTTAAATGCTAGAAAGCTGCAGTGCAGTTAGTAAGCAGGACATCTAATGAGTGTAGCACTACCCCTGCAGAAGTGCCCTTGAGCAAGGCACTGAATCTCTCCGAGTTGCAAGTTCACAGCTTTGCATTTTGAGCTCCAGGGAGGAGATAAAAGCAAAGGGAGTTTTTGCCTTCAGAGGCCGATGAGCCCTGTACAGTCCATCCTCTGTGTCAGTTAACCAAGAAAATCTGTCTCTTCTTATCAGCTCCATCTTAACAAGTGCACGGGCACAACAACACTGGAGGTCTGCCAACTGGACCCACCCCCCTCTTTCTCTGCCGTCCTCCTACAGTCTCAATGTCCACAATCCTGCTGTATGCACTAATGTGTAGCGCACACAAAAGATGGAAACCTGTTATTTATATTCACTGGTGCAGTGTAGGTTTTCCGAGGACAGCCAGACTCTTAAGGCCCCGCCCCTACTGACTGCAAGGCAATGTTTGCATGTTTCTTCAAATTGTATTAATATCGATCCAATCACATGTCCAGATCACACCAAATTTGAAACTGCCCTTTCCTGGGCCCTCAAC